GCTGTCCTGTGTGCCCTGCTCTCAGTGTTCTCACAGTATGGCTGTCCTGTGTGCTCTGCTCTCAGTGTACTCACAGTATGGCTGTCCTGTGTGCCCTGCTCTCAGTGTACTCACAGTATGGCTGTCCTGTGTGCTCTGCTCTCAGTGTACTCACAGTATGGCTGTCCTGTGTGCTCTGCTCTCAGTGTACTCACAGTATGGCTGTCCTGTGATCTGCTCTCAGTGTACTCACAGTATGGCTGTCCTGTGTGCTCTGCTCTCAGTGTACTCACAGTATGGCTGTCCTGTGTGCTCTGCTCTCAGTGTACTCTCAGTATGGCTGTCCTGTGTGCCCTGCTCTCAGTGTACTCACAGTATGGCTGTCCTGTGTGCTCTGCTCTCAGTGTACTCACAGTATGGCTGTCCTGTGTGCCCTGCTCTCAGTGTACTCACAGTATGGCTGTCCTGTGTGCCCTGCTCTCAGTGTACTCACAGTATGGCTGTCCTGTGTGCTCTGCTCTCAGTGTACTCACAGTATGGCTGTCCTGTGTGCTCTGCTCTCAGTGTACTCACAGTATGGCTCTCAGTGTACTCACAGTATGGCTGTCCTGTGTGCCCTGCTCTCAGTGTACTCAAAGTATGGCTGTCCTGTGTGCCCTGCTCTCAGTGTACTCACAGTATGGCTGTCCTGTGTGCCCTGCTCTCAGTGTACTCACAGTATGGCTGTCCTGTGTGCTCTGCTCTCAGTGTACTCACAGTATGGCTGTCCTGTGTGCTCTGCTCTCAGTGTACTCACAGTATGGCTGTCCTGTGTGCTCTGCTCTCAGTGTACTCACAGTATGGCTGTCCTGTGTGCTCTGCTCTCAGTGTTCTCACAGTATGGCTCTCAGTGTACTCACAGTATGGCTGTCCTGTGTGCTCTGCTCTCAGTGTACTCACAGTATGGCTGTCCTGTGTGCTCTGCTCTCAGTGTACTCACAGTATGGCTGTCCTGTGTGCTCTGCTCTCAGTGTACTCACAGTATGGCTGTCCTGTACTCTCAGTGTTCTCAGCACGTGGAGTCTGACTGCCATTCATTCAGCTGATACTGGTGGGGGCGTGGTCTGCTGCTTTCTGTGTAGCCACGCCCCCGTGACGCGTAGCTGCGTGGTGATTGGCTGGCGCTGGAACTGCTGAATCTTCAGCTCGGAGCTTGCAATACTGATAGCAGAGCGGCGGAGAGACCGACCGGGGAGCAGGGTCTGCGTTACCGGGGCAACCAGAACATCACCAGGGGCAACCAGAACATCACCAGAGGCAACCAGAGCATCACCAGGGGCAACCACAGCATCACCAGGGGCAACCACAGCATTACCAGGGGCAACCAGAACATCACCAGGGGCAACTACAGCATCACCAGGGGCAACCAGAACATCACCAGGGGCAACCACAGCATCACCAGGGGCAACCAGAGCATCACCAGGGGCAACCACAGCATCACCAGGGGCAACCACAGCATCACCAGGGGCAACCAGAGCATCACCAGGGGCAACCAGAGCATCACCAGGGGCAACCAGAGCATCACCAGGGGAAACCACAGCATCACCAGGGGCAACCAGAACATCACCAGAGGCAACCAGAGCATCACTAGGGGCAACCACAGCATCACCAGGGGGCAGCCACAGCATTACCAGGAGCAGAACATCACCAGGGGGCAACCACAGCATTGCAGGAGCAGCAGAACATCACCAGGGGCGGCTGAGAGCATCACCAGGGGCAACAGAGCATCGCAGGGCAACTAGAGCATCACCAGGGGCAACCAGAACATCACCAGGGGCAACCACAGCATCACCAGGGGCAACCAGAGCATCACCAGGGGCAACCACAGCATCACCAGGGGCAACCACAGCATCACCAGGGGCAACTACAGCATCACCAGGGGCAACCAGAGCATCACCAGGGGCAACCACAGCATCACCAGGGGCAACCAGAGCATCACCAGGGGCAACCAGAACATCACCAGGGGCAACCACAGCATCACCAGGGGCAACCAGAGCATCACCAGGGTCAACCAGAACATCACCAGGGGCAACTACAGCATCACCAGGGGCAACCACAGCATCACCAGGGGCAACCAGAACATCACCAGGGGCAACCAGAGCAACACCAGGGACAACCACAGCATCACCAGGGGCAACCAGAGCATCACCAGGGGCAACCAGAACATCACCAGGGGCAACCACAGCATCACCAGGGGCAACCACAGCATCACCAGGGGCAACCAGAGCATCACCAGGGGCAACTACAGCATCACCAGGGGCAACTACAGCATCACCAGGGGCAACCAGAGCATCACCAGGGGCTAAATCAGTCCGATATTGCGGCCCCAGTGGTTACAGGTAATACATGTGGTGGGGGAGGAAGGAGACAGTTACATCTCAGGAAGGAAGACATCTCACAGCTGGCAGGATGTCTGTAACATGAAGGGGCTGACATGGTGGTCGGGTGTCCATAAAGTGCTGGGGAGCTCTGTAAATACCAGGGGAGCTCTGTTAATACCAGGGGAGCTCAGATAAGATTAGAGCTCTATAAATACATGGGGGGCTCTGTAAATACCAGGGGAGCTCTGTAAATACATGGGGGGCTCTGTTAATACCAGGTGAGCTCTGTAAATACATGGGGGCTCTGTTAATACCAGGGGAGCTCTGTAAATACCAGGGGAGCTCAGATAAGATTAGAGCTCTATAAATACATGGGGGGCTCTGTAAATACCAGGGGAGCTCTGTAAATACATGGGGGGCTCTGTTAATACCAGGGGAGCTCTGTAAATACCAGGGGAGCTCAGGAAAAAAGATGGGAGCTCTGTAAATACCAGGGGAGCTCAGTGATAGAATAAACAGATTACAAGGAGTCTTAACTAGTATCTCTGTTAACTATGAGTGCTACTACCTCTCCCCTAATAATAAGAATGATGGATGCCACACTTACACTAGTCCTGGATAAATTACTCACTGTGGACGATTTATATTTTGCTTTATTATTTACTTAATTGCAGCAATAACTAAAGACAGGCAGAGTTCCCATGATTCATCGCAGAGCTAGCATATTTATTACTGACATGTATAAAGTGCCAACATATTCCACAGCGCTGTACAATTGGAAAAAAGATGGTACAATATAAACAGACCAATACAAAA